CATGTTCTACTAAGATTATTATGTTTGATGGCGCACCTTGAGTGCATTATAGTAAAAAAATAAATAAACAAATAAATATTGGCACAACGAAGGACCAGCCGAAGCAAAAACTGGATGTTACACTAGTTACTCAGTCGCTCAAATCCAGTCTCCATGCCGAGGTCACCACTCCTTGGCTATGAGCTAATATGTCCCCATTGAGAAATATGTGATGTCGCCTCTCCACATATCAAACCCGACAAGGCCACTCACATCTTGCATCCATCGGAGATCAGCTAACGGAATACCAAATTTCACATTCTTTTTACACCAACCGATGATTGACCTGTCTGCTCAGCACAACTTTGAAATACATATTATCATTTACAATACAAAGAGTGAAAATGTTTGGAGTACCTTCTTGGGAATGATGAAGATGGGAAAAAATGTTGCTAATGCTTCGAGGTAGAATACCACAGCTCGAAGACGAATTGGCACCCAAGCAGCTATTTGGACACAAATCGCGCAGTGTGAGCTGCTCTACGAGAGAGTGATCATCAACGCCAATATCCTTACAACACCTGGAATGTCGACGAATATGGCCGTTGAAAGCGAAGAACTTGTTTGAGATGTCTGCTTGAAACATAGCAATGCCAAACCGCACATTTAAGGAGTGCCCAGGAGCTCACGAGTAGCGGACCGTCCCCCTCAGTATCTCACACCGGGAGTCAACGAGGTTGTCCTCGGAACCCGGCGGTGTCAGGATTCACTAGCGACCTGACATGGGTGGTCCTAGTTTCCCCCTTGGAGTGGATACTAGGAGTGTAAGGAATATTTATTAGAATATTTTAATTACATTCATTAGAATTCTCTTCATCCTGAATCAGGTTTCAGCGTGTTGGTAATTGTATCGAATGCCCCTACACTCGCAGTGGCAATGAAGCGGCCATGGTCCACTGCGAAGCAACTCGGTGATGTGAGAAAGTGATTTCATTTTGAGCCGTTTCAAACATATTCAGCGACTCAACATTTAGATCCAGAGCTCAATTGGGAATTGTGACATCCGCGAAGTCACTAGTACGAAGGAAGTGCGGGTCAGCAGTGTATTTCGTATATCTTTCCACCAAATTTTCCTTATTTGGAGTTCATCTGCAGAGTATCCACTTTTGGAATTCAAAGAATTTTAGATTAGATGTATTTTGCTTTTAGCAGTCCGCTCACCTGAAACTGGTGATTAAAAGTAGTCAGGTCGTTGAGCTTGAGTGGGGCTGCAGTACTGCCTCGAAATCTAAAAATGTTTTTGTTTGGGCTTCACCACAATACCACCATTCTTTGAGAAAGTCGGTTTCTTTTGGGAAGAGAATGGGTGTAGGAGGTGGGAAAGGATCTGATGAGTCATGGAACGGTAAGGGATGCTTCTATCAGCTCTAAGGGTTGAGGTAATTGTAGTTTCAGTCAAATTTTCCTGGGCATGTGGTTAACCCTGCAAACGGCGGTGAGGTGTACGGGAAGCAGAACAGTTCTAAACCACCTTTCAGGTGCCGAAAGATCGTCCGAAAGTGCTCCCGTTCACGAGGTCTCCGTCCTCAAAGAACTTCGTTGAATTGAACCTTTAGACCGCATTCTTCATTAACACTAGTTTCGTATTACAAACATATCATTAAAGTGTTGTCAGTTGTGATGTTGAAGCATCAGTTATATGCTTGGGACTCAAACGTGAAACAGCCGCCATAAAACAGGATGGGGCACAAATGTGGTTACAAGGTTGAGCTTGAGGAGGCGCACATACTCAAAAATGAGCCCGCTCTTGACAGGCTGGTCAGATTTTTCGTTGATTCCTTAATATGAAATTCTTTTTTTGTTGCTTCATGGTCTTCATCTGGTCGCCCATTCCTTCCGAGATTCTACAGGGTGGGCCGGTCATGGTAGCCGTGAGGGCGCGCGGTCAAACTTTTTCCAACCGGTGGTCGGTGCCCAACCATCTTCTGATAGAGAAACTCCTTTTTTCCTTCTAAGCTTTTCGAAACTCCGAATGAGAAAATTTATAACAAGTAACTTTACACTCTCGAAAGAACCATAGTCTGCCACGAACAAAAAAACCAATTGAGTACCCTACTATGGACGACAGGGCAGGACGCGGCACCTAGTCGTAAATTCTGCGGATGTTGCTTCATCGAATTCATAGTGCTCGACGACATGATACTCATGAACCACTGCGAAATC